TGTGTATGTTTACTACTAAGCCGCGCGACAGGAAGCCCATGACTGAAAAATTGCTCCAAGAGATGGTACTTACTGCCATTAACGAATATGGGGGAGATCCTCAACCAAACACGGGCACGGTCATGCAATTTCACGCGCTTCTAGGCGATCTTTTGTTCGACTCTATCGAGCGCATGTCTAAGGAACCAGATTCGGGCATTAACATCACCTACCACAACCGCTTTGAATTCGTCACCTGTTCTCAAGGTATAGGTAACCGTACTGCTCAACCGCAGTAAGAATCAGGACAACACCCCTCGATTGAAATGATAGGAGGATTAACCTACAGCGACCTCAAAGGGCCCCATCACGTCAAAAGACAAGCATCGGAAAAAATACATGGAAACGTTCATTGACTTCAAACCCAAATTACGTTCGAGTTTTTGCAGAGACAAACAAGAATCAAGTGGCGGCCAAGTTTCAAGACTTTGTTGCTAGGTTTGAAGCTGAGTTTGAATGTCGAGTGCGCGTTCTGCGCAGAATGGCGGCGGTGAGTTCGATACTTTATTGGTGGATCTCTTCTGCAAACAATCTGGAATCAAACGGCAGACAAATGAAGCTGGTACGACTCAATCCAATGGTAAGGCGGAAAGAATGAATCACACAATTTTTAAATGGTCCGGTGTATGCTCTTTGCATCCGATATACCACTTACTCATTGTAGCGACGCTGTTGAGGACGCTACCTTCATTTTAAATCGAAGTCCCACGCGTGCCAACGTTAAGCGAGATTCCCCGCTGGAGGTTCTCACTGGCAAAGTTCACAGACTACAGTACTTCGTTGTGTTTGTATCACCTTGCCAGTTTTGGCGCGGCCCTTTCAAAAAGGGTCTCAAAGCCCATACATTCAGCGGATATATTCTGGGCAAGGTTGAAGGGACTAAGGGTTACAAGGCGTTACTCCGTGATGACAGTTCGATTGTCACAACGCGTCATGTCACGAACATCGAGAAGCTTGATTTTTCTATAAACAAGCTCACCGCCGATGCACTTCTATGCGAGGACGACGCTGATATGACATCTATCGCGACGTCTCGCTCCCGAAATGCTCAATAGAAACAAGGCGCGACGCGGAAGGAGGTTACTCAAGCGAACAAAACAAATCACAACAATAATACGCCAAAGACCCCGCAACTCTTGTCGAAAGGTGTGCGCAGATCGACCAGGGCAAAAATGATGTCCCGAAGGTAGGCAGAAGCTGACGGTGACGATGCCTTTGACGCACAAAAGTGTCTGCAGTCATCAAATTATATTCGCCGATAATTTCCGCTTCATAACTTGACCAACAAACACCGTCCCAATTGGCATTCGCGGTATTGCCTACATCGACCAAGAATAAGCGCCTGGTCGATGAGCCTGACCCGTTTAGTTATGGCCAAGGACGACGCAGCGTGAACAATTAGTTGTGGAAGGCCGCTGAGCAGGAAGAATTGCATTCGCCAGCAACACACAAGACTTGGAACATCTTCGTCCGTCCTCAAAGTGCCAGACCACTACCAACCAAGTGAGTTTACAAGACAAAACTACTTGGAAATGGTGACATCGATAAAATTAAGGCAATACTTGTGAGTCGCGGCGATTTACAGATTAAGGGCGAAAGTTACATGATAACGTGATCGCCTGTCATTTCGATGAACAGTATTCGCATCATCGTCATATTCTCGCTTTTTTGGCGCGTACCAGCAAGACATTGCGACGTTCCCAGTGCTAATGTCAAGGTATCACTCGAAGAAGACTATACGATTTTTTTTCAGATTCGGATCGGTACGCTCATTTCCGATTCAACACTTTCGAAATTTGGTGTTGACAGCGTTTAGGATTTTGCGTTGGAACTGGAACGCGGCAATTATGGACTCAAGTAGTCTGGGCTCCTTTGAAATGGGTTACTAGTGTCCACACTGTTCAACATTGGTTTTTATCAATGCATCACTCACTCTTGCGTCTCTACAACGTAGATGGGAATGAGACGGTGCTATTGGGCGTGTACGTGGACGATATTATCGTCACGGGTACAACGACCTATGTGGTGGATCGTTTTTTTGTGGAAATGAACGTGCTTTAGTTGAAAGGAATTGGCGCTATTTATAAGTTCCTGGGCATGCATTTCCTCCATTGCTGTAATGGGAGCGTCAAAATTGATCAAGAACAAACAATTGTTGAGATGCTCGACAAGCACGATATTTCTAATTTTATTGGTGTTCGTGTTCCTATTGGTGTTACAGAACATTTCAACTCGGAGGACCAGACATTGCTGCCAGCAGAATGCACCACACTCCTTAAGAAAGCGACCATTAAAGAGTTTCAATCGCGGTCTGGTTGCCTATTATGGCTCACGCGCTGCACGCGTCCGGACGTTGCGTATGCAGTCCACAATATTACTCGGCGTTGCCCTGCACCGACTCTTGGTGATTGAAAGCTTGCGAAGCGCGTTGCCCGTTACTTCAGTGGTACGCGCTCGAAATTTCTGCATATGAAACACGACGACGGTCCGAAGTTCCTTCTTCGACTTGTGTCATATACTGACGCAGACTTTGCGGGAGATGTGGACGATATAAAGTCTATAAGCGCTGGCATCCCGTTTGTCAATATTATAATTGCTGGGCGGCACTGCCGCAAACAAATAGCAGTGACTTTATAGACTGCAGAATCCGATTTTGTGTCTGCTGCGGCTGGTGGCGTGGATAATTGGGGGTCAAGAATCTAACGCTAGAAACCAGAATGCAAGTCAAGACACCTGTCGTCCTGCGCATCGACAACAAAGAAGCAACTTAACAAATTGACAACGAGGCAGCGTCTGCAAACGAGAGACGTGCTTACATCAGGATTTAATATCACGCGGCCACGCTGAAAAATTAAAGATGAAGACGGAGTTTGCAGGCACGAAAGATATGGTTGATATTTGTCTGACGAAGCCTATCCCAGCACCCCGACTTCAAGAGTTGTTCGACGCGATCGGTTTAGTGCTTATTCACTGAGACGAGAGTAGCGTTGAAAGTCACATGACATCCTGTGTTGAAGTTGTGTGGTGTGTCTCAATGGAAGAGGCACATGCAATGAACCGTTTCGCGCACAGGAAAGACTGTTGGGATACATGCGAAGATTTATGAGATAGAAGGACGACTCTTCAGAAATAATGGAAAGCTTTAAAGGCAATATGTATCAACCGGACTAACAAGTCTAATATATATTCACTTGTTTATTTCCTCTCTGCGTTGCACGTCTCTTTATAATACTGGCAACATAATTAGAAGATTTATATCACACACTAATCGGCTTGTGTTATAAGTTACTGCGGTGCGTAAACAACTCTATTTACCGCTCATTGAATGTTGCGTAAGAAAATAAAACTGAGTTAGATATTCTCTAAGGTTGATCGGAAACTGGGCGCTCTCCGAATATAACGCTTAACGGTTGCAAATTGCACAATAACTGCCTGGTGGGATCCTTTTGTTACATAAAGTACGGGAACCGGTCTAACGAAAATCATTTCTATTTAACTGAATCTTGTTGTTGCGAGCGCCACGTTAATGATTGGAACGCCGCTTTCATTGGCCTCGTCTTTCTTTTAACTTGTGTCACAATCGCTTTCTGGGGTAGCTCTGGGCGAGAAAAGTTGTTATTTTTGATATGATGAAGCATGATAATGATTGACACATATTCTCAGGTATGCAAATTTTGAGCTCATCTTTATCTTCAGCTCTAGCTCGATTTCTGCATCCGCAAGCTCTATCGAGCCAACTGTGTTCCTTCCTTTTATCAACATTTTGAGGAGACAGGAGACGGTCCGTATGGCGGTCTATGGTGGTAGTACACGGGCAAACGGCAGCCATCATAATCTGATTCCGGACAGATGATACCCACCGGTGCACAGCAGTTAGTTCGTCGATCTTGCAATGCTGCCCATACTTCATGCTCTTCATAGCCATTTTGTTACCGCTGACTGTAATGACGATTGCACCGCTTAACTACTAAGGCTATTTCGACATATGTCGATTCTGGTTGTTTTGCCTTTTTCGTAACGAGCCATCGCGAAATTTTAGGTCGTCTGTGATATTTGGCTAAACTGTGTATTATCTATAGGTCGGCATTGTGCTGCATTTGCTGACATTACAGCATTCGCATAAACCAAAATACAAGGATAGAAGCGAGGAACGCGTCTCGCACGATTCTACGGCTAAATAAGATATTTTGGACCTGCGGACAAAGTGCCATATCTTCAGTCTAAGTAAAGCAACTTTGCGGTTGGTCTTGTTCTGCCCTGTTCCCTTTTATTTGTTGTGATGAATTCGTAATGGCCCAATTTTAGTTATTTCATTATCTGAATGCAATGCAATAAATTAACGCCGCAAAATTTTTGTTTATAACTCCCGCAAAGGTAATGGAATTACTGTGCACCGCCCCCATACCGTCATGGAGGATACGAACCTTAAACCATTTAAAGCTTATTAACGACAAAGCACATCCTGATGTTAAGCCGCTCAGGAACTTCGTGAGTTTGAGAAGTGTAGGTCTGAAGGCGAAAGAATCGAAAAAGCACACTTTGTCACGTGATGACAACGGTCTTCGTCGAGTCCGGTTCTTCTTTAAAGCATTATTATTCAATGCGAGCCCTGCACCTTCAAGGCGTCAAGTGCGCCATCTTCTTTCACACGTAATTGCCTCCAGCCAGCAGCCCAGCCATAAGTGAGCTAGGCGCACGTATGTTTCTCTTGGTTTGCACGAATAGCAAAGTCTAAGGGTCAGAAACCCATTAGCGTATGTTCGTCGCTTGTGCCGACAGGAATTGCAGGTAGTCATTAATCTCGTTCATGTGCTTACACACGACCTCAGACATTAATGCATAGCTTTGTACCACGTGTCACGACGATGTTTGCGGTTTGGCCGAAATCATCATCGATCGTAAAAAGGGCCGGACAAACTGGCAGTCCTCGAATCGCACCCTCACGTACAACTCTCTCCACAATGGCGCCAGTCTTCGACACGAACAAGCGCCGGTACAAACTCGTGCTGCGCATCCAATGTGCGCAAGAGCTGCAGCACTCGTCATCCCACGGAGCGTACTGTAAACTCTACGTCGGCCCCACGGTTCATACCGACGGCACGTACAAGGCCGCGCGAGCGGCCAACACGGACGCGACACCGTCCACAACGAGCGACGACGTCAGTGACCCCAACAGTAGCAGTGCCAACGACGTGCGGCAGCTGCACGTTCGACGCACGCGCACGCAGCTGCCGCAGCACGCGAAGGCCCCACGTGAGACCGTGTGGAACGAGGTGTTTGTCGTACCTCTTCGACGGGACGTGGCAGTCGCGCGTCAGATCGTGAGCATCCGCGTAAAGAGTCAGCACGTCTTCTTCTGCCCTGTGATTGGCGTCTGTGCCATTTCGCTGGCCCATTTATGTCCCAACGAGCGCCTCGAGCAGTGGGTACCGCTGGAAAAAGGCTCGAAACCTGCTGGCCGCCTCCGGGTGATGGTGGTCGTGATTCCATTGGTCGACCCGAAAGGCCGCCGCGGGCGACGCCATGAGCCGAATCCAGATGTGGTGGCGGCGCGAGCCGCGTGCATCGAAGCCGATGCAGCAGTCGAGCGATTGGTGCAAACTCAGTTACAGCGGCAACGGGAGCGTCGTCAGAAGAGAGTGGAGCCATGTTCGTCGACTCGACGGGGTGGTGATAGTGACGGGGACCGGATTATGGACAATCAACAAGTGGAAGACGATGGAATGGTGTTTCGAAGCAACGTGGGACAAGCAAAGATCCGGGAGCATCGACACAAGCGCGGCGACCTTGAGACGTGGCCGCCATTACCGAATCTCTCGATGCCGAATCTATTGCCGCCACTTGGCACGCGTGGTGCAATGGTGGACAGTGATAGTTCGATCTCGAACTATAGTGATTGGAGTGCGTCGGGTAAACTGCCGTCCGATCAAAACGACGATCGTGAAGTTCTGTCCACGATGGTGGAGTACGAACAACGACTTGACAGGAAACTGCTACAAGTGCGGAAAGAGATGGCAAGACTCCGCAAACTTAAGTCTCAGCTGAAACAGTATCTTCCGGACCTGCAGATGGACTCGGATTCGGACGACTCGATGGACTATGACGACGAGGAGGAGGAGGCAGAGATGCTGTTATCATGTTCATCGCTGACAATGATCTCGTCGTCGTCAGAGTGAAGGAACGACGTGCTTTTGAAGTTGGACGAACGATGGAGGCGCAATGCGATTTGAGCGATTGCAAATTTGGCAGCGTTTTGTGGTGAATGAGTGGTACCACAAGATTTGACGAAGATAGTGATACGGTGTTCGACTGTGTTATGAATCTGCCCTCTAGAAACATACATGTAGTAAAAAGTTGTGTGTGCTGGAGTCATTCAATGCCCTGACGCCGCTCTCGTACGCGGAATAACGTGCACTGTCTTGGGTATGTGTCGTTGCGAGAACAATGTATCCTTTTGCTGTATTTCGGGCTCTGTGCAAGCAACTATTATTCTTTTGCCGGAATAAAACAAAAATATCACGGGATGTTGGGTGATTGTGCGTGTCGCAAGTTTGAAACTTACTAATCGCTTTATGTCAATCTGTTGGCGACTCCACAATTTACTTCTCGTTTGCAAGTCAATCTAACAAGGTTTTATGTAAGTAGCCGTCGACCTTGCTGTCGATGTAACTGACACCACGACAAAAAACCATGACGCAAACCATCATTGTCTTGATAGGTGGTGGATCAAGCTACGTGGCGTTGATAGCCTCTTGAAGCTTCTGTTAACGGAGCTTATTACGTCCATATTCTATTTCATTGCTCATCGATGCATAAACAACAGTACCAAATATATAGTACATATCATAACTAGTAATCTGCAGCAAGCTGCCAATGCGCCTCAACTCCAAAACTGCACTTGACCAATACAAACTTACTCAATAAGGCTAACGATTCTACATGTAGGTCTGTGTCATATTCTCATGTAAGTATAATTGAATGTCCATGGTATAAACATTAGTTTATGTAGGTATTCAGATGTTCCGCAAGTGTTAGGCACACCAAGACTACGAGCATCGGGGATAGATTCTTCAGCTGACCTTTTGTTTGACACTAAAAGTTGTGAACGATTGATTAACGATACCTCAGTGTAAGGAAAGACATTTGCTTTTAAATGATCTCGGCATATAAGTTGCACGCAGTTGCAATTCCAGAAAAGTAGTGACTGACCGATACACCATACAGCGCGATAAATACAGCATGGCGCACGCTACGACGAGCCTGAAAACGCAATACCGGTGCTGTCCGAGCCGATTGTTTACTGGAGTAAATGCCCTGATATTTGGTGCCCTTTTAATTTACATCGACTGTGTAGTCCAGAAGAAATGTGCTCATTAAAAAAATAGCAACTCGCCATGATTCGTGCTGACAAAAACATCGCATGTTTATATTCGCAATACTAATACTCAATCACCTATAAGATTCATACTGAATCCAGTTCATTTATTTATGATCGAAAAAAATAAATTATAAAGATGTGCACTACTGATGTACACTGAACGATAATATAAATACGCTCGGCAATACATTTGCATTGCAGCAAAAATTCTTCAGTTTCTCTCAATTGTCATCAATCCGAATCCTAGTCAACTTTTGCCGATGACTCACGTTTAGTAAAGGTAAGATAAGATTGACGGTTCAAGCGCGATCTGGAAGGACTATATATCTCTGATTCTGAGATCAAGTTGTTTCTTACTCTTTCATTCAGATCACGTATGATGACATTTTGTAATGCGCAGCTTTTGTTTTGGCAATATTTTACTCTTTCATTCAGATCATGTATGATGACATTTTGTAATGCGCAGCTTTTGTTTTGGCGGTATCGTTTGTTGTCCTTAAATGAATCGATCCAGCGCCGTGTGATACTGAAGTGTACAAAATGCTGTAAGCGATGTTACCGGTGCTACACGAGGCAGCATCAGACAGCGAATAAACATATATTAATAAGAAGACTCGAGATGTTGGATATCTGACGGCTGAATATTGTGTTGTTGTACGTGAGAAAGGATGCTTGCAGATCCATTCGGTGGAACGCACGTTAACAAAGCATGCAATGTTGAGATAATGTTATGGTCCTCATACAGCTTGACACACCATTGTGGAATATCTCCACATTCAGGGGGATAAAGTATAATGTCAGACAATATATACATACCTACTTTCGAAATAAATTATATTTATCGCAATTCGTTGTATTTCGTAGGATTGAAATATATAAAAGTTATTTATTTATTTTTATAATAAGCAATGTCTCTAACATTAAGTACAAAAATTTTCACACACGTTCGAGGACACTAAGTAATGATGTTCGCATCGTCCGATTATGTATATGTGGCCATGGCATGACGTATCAAGAACTTGCGTCATGCCACTAACTACAAATGGAGACAAAAGTAAAAGAAACGATCACGTTAGATCGCCGCGAATGCTCCTTCTGTGCAAAATAGGGGGACAAAAGTACATATATATCGTCATCGGATTGATTTATCGGTGTGTTTGTTATTTTGTAAATTCGGGCATCTAGTTTTCTTTTGAGAGGATATTATTTCAATTCTAACTGCTCAAGCATATATATGCACATGTCCTTAGGCTGACTATTTATATCTTTGCATTTGATTGTTTGCGTTGAATCTGCTTGCATAAGACGCTTTTATCGGTCCCTGCTCGACGTACTAACACACCAGCCTTTGTGATTAGCATAGCATTTTGTGAAGTACATCTGTATGATTGATTCGATGCTCTCAACTATATTCGAACGCAGGATCGCAAGGATACTTCAAACTGTTTCTTGCATGTTTCTCTATCAGACGATGTTGTATAGGAGACTATTAGATCGATGAACCTTGCGCAACGAACGCACAAACAACCGGTTTGGACGCATATATTCGCATCGTGTTACCCCGAAAGTGAAGCGTGAACGAAGTGGCACATTGTAAATCGAATATGATATAATACGACGAGGGCGACGGTAAGCTTGGTGCCCCTGACTTTCGTGATAAAGCCTGTAGTACGCAGCAGATCAAATCAACGTAAAGTAGGACATCTGATTTTTTTATAAAAAGATCCAAAATGTCAACGTCGGTAAGCGTAGAGCTTGCTGTGCATCATCCCGAAAACGTTAGAGGCTTGTTTAGTACGCAATGCACGATGCTTGATGTCTTATGACATGATTATGTGCTGTTGGTCATAGAAAGGATTAACATGAGCCTTTTATTGTGGCCACGAAATTACGGATCTCGTGAGTGCGGTTCGGTTTTCGTTACATTCGATCGTAGATGGGAATAAGCGGCATTGCGAAAAGGAAAGATCACCGACCTTGTTAAAATTCAGTGGGTTAATTGCAGCTGGAAAAGTAGAAATGTGTCACACTTTCGTAAGAGATCGCGCGTATTGTAGACGTCATACACAATGCAATTATGACCTTGACCCTTCTGGTTTGACTCAATTATTTGAACGCCGCCTTCAGAACCTTTGGCAATCAATTTTGTTGAATTTTACCTTCACTTATAATAGGTGTCACTGTACCTTACTACCTATTTTACGCAGGCACATCCCTGTCGAATGTAGTGCACGTCCAGTATAAAAATGCGAGAATTAGTGGCACACCAAAGGAGAATACGTAGCCGACCAGGAAAACCTCGACCAATGAAGCTCGTTACTCCATTCAATTATCTTCTGCAGCATGCTTGATCTTGCGTAAATGTAGGTACAGCCAGCACGTTGCCAGGCGAGCACTTGATTCGCTGTCAATTTATTTAATGAAGTGGGCGATGACTGGCAAGCATATTTTTGATCGGCGTGAAGTAGCCATTTGCCGTATGTAGTGGATGCATGTCAATAGAAGCTGTATAATGCATGGACAATTCGATGAAAGTTAATCGCTCAGACGGTCTGCAAGTTGCGACGAGAATTCAGCGCCACAGAGCATACAGCTCTGTTAAGCTGCACGTGTCAAAGGAGTAAAGCCTATTTTCTCGTTACAGAATCTACTACTCTATGCCGTCATCAAGCGCAAACTGGAAGGGAAGGCCATGCGGCATGCACGTTGCTCAATGCACACCCATCATAAATTTTCGGCAACGTATAGAAGACGTAAGCTTTTCGACGTTTTAACTTGTAGTTCATATCCGTGCACCTTACACGAAGGCTGAACAGCACCGATGATTTTTCAGTAAAAAAAATTGAATTACTCATCGTAGTGATCAATGACAGATCACGTTAGTAGTATGAGACACTTCTTAAGGTGTTAGATTGGCAATTGCTGCAGCAGAAGATCGCTAAAGGGGTATGCGGCCAAACATACTCTTATTACCGACACAATCAGCGAAGGGTCTGCACACATATTTGGTTGGCTACAAAAATCTCACGTGGCACGAACATCTGTAGGGTTTCGATAAGTGTGTTAACAGCCTCGAAATGAGGCGCGCGCCCGATACTCCATCGAATCCGATTCAAATCCAGAGCGACTCATCCTCTTCTTCATTATCACTGGAGCTGTCGCTCTCTTGTTCTCCCATGTTTTCCGACGCCTCGTCGCCCTTGTCTCCCGTTTGTCGACTTTTCGTCTCATCTCTCTTTACTTTTTTCTGCATGAGTTTGTTGACAACCAAAGCCGCCCGAATCTTGTCCAAAATGTCTTGTGGGATGTCATTCTGTACCAATCGTAGTCTAACGAGCGACCTGTTTTGCAGCACTGCCTCCAGCAAGGCACTGCCCCCTTCCTCGCCAATCTCGTTATTCGCGAGATCGATCGATTTTAATGAACCGTTGAAGGGCAGCACTTTGGCTAGAGCTTTTGCCCCCTCGTTTCCGACTTGATTACTTGAGATGCACAAGTACTCAAGTGCTTCGTGACCATACAGAGCGTCGCTGAGGGCGCGTACGCCTTGCACTGTAATCTCGTTCCCTCGTAGGTCCAGGTGGGCCAAGGTATTGTTGGCTCGAAGCATGTTGCCCATCGACGTAGCCCCAACGTCTCCAATCTCATGGCCAGGCAGCAAAAGCCGCTTTACCGTGTGGTTCAGCTGGAAGACACGGGCCACCAAATCGCCGCCTGACGATCGTAGTTTGCGTTTCTTGGCCGCCATGTCCTTGAGATCGAGTTCACGAATCTGGTCCTGATTAGCGCGAATCTTTTCGAGAATCTCCTTGAGAGTGGTCGTAGGGCGCTGCGTCGTCACCAGGGGATCGTCGGTCTGGTTCTGGCGGCGCACTGCCATAGCCGAGAGAACAGACATCAGCACATCAACGTCGGACGTGTGGGTGGACGCCATTTCGTTTGTGTGCTATTTGTGAAATATCGAAAGAATTAGTAGGTCCAGAGAGGTTTTGTAAAATCACAAATTTTGTAACCTGATGAGTGGAATGCGGAGATCTAATGCCATGGAATGTATCGAGATGTGCGAGATTTGAAAAAGAAGGGTCTGCGACTCACGTCCGTAGTTTGCGAGGGTTAATAGAAAGAGAGACTTCATGACAGTCCATTGTGTACGTATGCGTATACGCAAGATTTTCAGGACCTTAGAGCAAGATTTAGCGCCAGATCCAGTAGCTGGTCGTGGCAGACATCCTCAGATACGAAAGTGCCTTACGCTTTATGAGCAAACTAGCCAAAACAGACATTTAACAAAGCCGTATGTGCGACTGTGTCGGGGTCGTACATGTTTCCGCTTCACAAATATGTGGGCTGTGCTGGGTCTGACTTGCTTCCGCTTTGCAAATGCTTGGAGCTGACGTATTTCGAGCTTTCATTTACGTAAGACGCTTATAGGCAACATGACCTGCTTTTCTCGATGCATTGCGCTGTTTCAGTCGCTCCACAAGTGAGTCTCGGTGTTTCGTATTGAACTTGGAAATCGGACATGTATATAAACCTGTTTTCAAGCCTTTCCCTTCGCTCCGACGTCGTTTTGGGTACGGTGATGCAGTCCATGTCTCTGTAAGCTTGATAGCTCATGTTCGGCGGACCGCACAGCCGAAATATATCGACTGGCAACAGATGTGTATCCTACCTCTCTTTCAGTGTGTGAGCAGTATACATCCGCTCAGCGCAATGACTGCGGCTCCAACGGTATGCGCTCGGGGGTGTACGGTAGTATGCTAGAAGTACTGGTTTATGCTGTCATAAGGATGACTCATACGATAAAGGTAGAGTTGCTTTGTCGCAATCCATTAGTTTGTCGGAATACATAATATGTAGGGTCGTATACCCAATATTAACCTGTTTACGGCTGATGATGCGCTGCTGCCGACTGTCACGGGCCCATGCTGATGATAGCGTTATAATGCTGCAACGAGGTGTTCATGTCAAAGAGACCTGATATACATGAAGTGAACACCGGTCAGACAATCATTTTTCGAGGTGAAACAATCGCGACATTATCCTTCGTCCTTTGCACACAAAATATGATACCTGAAATGGAAAGAGGCGCCGACAAGATAGGATCGACACTGATCGAATATGTCCGCAAGTGTCCTACGTGTCAGACTCAAATTAAAACGCTGCCGTCGAATCGTCGTGCGTTCCAAATGACACGAGGACACAAGCAAAGAACGGACCGAAAACAAGTTAGCCTCAAGCATGCTTGTCGACTGCATTGATTCCATTGTGTACCAGGCATTTACCCATGACGTAGTTAGCTTATTGCCGAGCTATGATAGTGACTGACAAAAACGCAAATGCAAAGATGAGCACCTGCTGGAATGCGGAGAAGGGAATCACCCAGTTATTTTTGAGCTGTTTCCATCAGAGTGAAATAGAATAACTCTTATGTGGACAACAATTAACTTCCAACTGCTGTCGCAAAACATGGATGCAACATTCGAGCAAACAACAACGGTGTAACGGGGTTACACGTCGACTGGTAGTCGACAATAGGTGTGGTACACACATATGATGAGATCCCCTTTAGAGTAATATTAGAACACAAATATCAATTGTTGAAGACTGATGTCTGTCAACCACTGGTTACGGGATCTTTTGAGAGGTCTATTTAGAACATTAGTGAGTAGGTTAATTACTTTGTTTTAAGGTGTTCTTTTAGGTTAAAAGAAGAAATAAAATTCAGTTCCCATTTTGATCAACAAAAGACACGTGCCTCTCTGAGGCGTCTTGCGATCGTAAGGAAGTAGCAACGCCTTGTTAAGGTAGCTACTCCTTGTGCACTTAGTGCGTTTGATTCTTTGAATCATTTGGCCCCCCTGAAACAGGGACCGTAAGCTCTTTAAGCTTGTTGACTCAATGAGTCAAGTTCTTTGAACCATCCTTAAGCTCTCGGAGCTGTTGACTCTTTAAGTCAGGTTCGTAGAACCGGAGTTGCTCGTAAGAGCGTTAAGTCTTCCTCTGGCTTAAGGAGCTGTGTAGCTCCGCTAAAAACGGCGTACACGAATTGCTGTAGCGTCAACAATATCTGTCACTACGTCGTGCTTGCTCCATATTATAAGTCGCTCTTTATTAAGGCGTGGTAATGCCATCAATTTCGTCAAACAGCCTCGTGAACGAGTTTCATTGCAGAGGCAAGCACTTGCTCTTGTTTATCACATTCTAAAGAATCAGAAGCCAACTACTTGGGATATGAAGAGTATGCGGCAATTGCGTCAAACGATGCAAATTCTAGCTCTTGCCACTTGGCAGAAGCACCTGCCATGACGACGTCATGCAAAAGTACGAAACGGGTTTCCAGTGCAGCCGTTTCACAAAACTTTTGGCCTCTTCTCGAATACATATAGCGTCCGACTTCCAAGAATAGGCTTATCGTATCGAGCTGCGACTGCTCTTTTCGCCTTTGTGATCGAGAATGGAAAAATTGAGGTCTTTCGTAGCGCAAGCTTCGCAAATATCGAACGCATCTATGTTATATTGGTCACTGAGGCTATTGATGTCGCGGCAACCAAATATTGAAGTAGTCGACCACCAGCGGCCAAATATTGGGACAATCGGACCCTTTAGCAGATTCGTGCGACCGAGTTCTCCTGTTCCATGTCATCGGCGCGGACAGGGACAATTCATGCTCGTGCGAAACATGTTGAATTGAAGATTTCTACATGGCACGAGATAACACCGTCGAATATCATGCAAGGCACTTACTTGTTCGAGTTATGTACAAGGTGCTAATAGCAACTGGTAGTATAGCTGTGTAGGTGGCTAGCTACTGTCTCTTGTTTTCTAGATAAACAACAAAAACATGACGAGCGCGATCGTCACGATCCAACTCACGGAAAGTGTCGCCGCACTGCTTGTTGCGCTGGAACTGCTCCCATCTCGAATCTTGTTCGGAGTGGCGTTACTTGAGGACCTCATCGATCGGATAGTACTGTAATTTGTATCGAATGCATCGAGGGTGTCAGTCTGCCGCCAGACATTTGCGACAGGAATTCTGCAATCACCGAGATTTAATGCTCTCATCTCGTCCATGAATGCCACGCAAGCAGCGCTGTCGCAGTATACTTTGATCTAATCAACGAGAGCTTCGACAGGGTCGGAGTATGTCTGGTATCAGGATCCAATAAGCACTTGATGAATTGTGGGCTGGCTGCAAAGTCCATCATCGTTGACACGGGGCACATCAATTCCTCTATCATCGTGGCTTCGAAGGACAGAAGAAGTACGATAGCAGTCAATAATGATGGCACCATGGGTAGCTAGCTGACTTTAGAGGTAAAATCGATTATGGGATTGTTGTGCTCACTCGTACGCTAGATTAAACATCTTATACGTCATCAACCTTATCCCGAATTCGTCGTATCACACACAATTTCTGACACGGTCGACCGCACGACCATGCAAGCAGGAAGGTTGCAACCAATTTAGCGACGTTATGGACATGATAAGGATAGTACAGGGGCGAGCTACCGTAACCGAAAGATGCACCTGATCGAATTATTAATCGCACGGTAGTTGATATTGGAGAGTAGAGCGTTTGTCGAGCGTAAGAAAGGAGGGTTGGCGGATAATATTGCCAGCTGCTTCGAAACGTGCTCGCACGATCCACCCATCGACTCTACTTCCAATTCTGAACGTATGTATCCAACGCAGTTGATCGGACTGGGAAGAGTCCTTCCAACGTCCATGCTCTATATAGATAGCTTTCGCAGAAAGGCACCCAAAGAAGCGTGTATGCTGGGAATGACTCAAATTACCCTTGTTAGTGCTTTATGACTAGGTATCTAAATGAGTAGAAAGGATGTGAGCGACCAAGATGCAGACGGACGTGTCTGAAACAGATCGATGATTGCCAACATATAAGGTCAAATGCGTACGACATCGTCGACTTCGTGGTCATCAAAGGAGGTTATTTTAGGGCTTTGACCTTACTTCGGATAGCAAGTGATGTTGCGGCAATGTGTGTAAGGTACATATTGTATATTTGGAGTTGTTGTAGGTTTATTATATTTGGGATTTCTATCCTTTGAAGACGGTGATATGGCTCAGTCGTTTACCAAGACAATTACCACGTTGGTTACTGCGGGTTCGAGCCTCGGTTGGGCAAGTCTGTAAAAGGTACAGATTATACCTTTCTGGATAAGCGAATTTTTTCGACATACATTTGACAAGAAGTAATTAATCGATAGTAGGACTAATTGCCAAGTAGGAGAAAGGACAGGTAGCATTGGTGGCTGAGACCCATCGGCTTCTGACAGTCATTGGTTTCGGATCGCAAATCCCTAAAGAATACATCAAACTTTTCATTTAACAATCCCGGTGGAAAACCATCTACATCTGATCAAGAGCGCTCGAACAGCATTTCGCTCGTAAAAACGTCTATATGGCCACTAATTTGTAGACGTGATTGCAACTATAGTTGCATGTATTAAATCCGCATGAGGTTGCACAGGAACCGACTTATAATTATAATAGCGCCACGCTGGCAAATGACGGCACGATACTGGCGCCGTTTGGTGGCGGAGGTCCAGCTCGAAGTACTCTCTCTCCTAGAAGAATTGTAGGGAGAGTCATTTCTATAGCTATTGCGATGGGCCAACATCAAATTAGTATCGAACGTTAAGTGATTGCGGCAAACACAATGCTTTGGCTGGTCAAATAGGGTAAGAATAGACACAGTGTAATAGCCCACAAAATTCTTTTGCCAGAACTTAGCTGCAAACATTTGCCAAGCGTAATCTAGATGATGATTTTATCGTCATTCGATCAAGAAGTCCAATAGTGCCGATGTAGTTGTGAAAGGCTTGCAAATCTATCCCCCATAAACGTATAAGCTTTAGCAACCAACTGTCTTAAATATGATCAACAGTGTATTTATACACGTTTAGCGAG